GGTTTGGGTAAGAGCTTATTAGAAAATAAATACCTTGAATTTTTATATTAAGTAGAGCATGATCTCATAAATTGTGGATACATTTTTAATGTGTGATGAGAACTTTTTAAATATTTCTTAAAAATGTGTGGTGATGGAAATGACAGGGTGTTGTGGAAATGACCATGAATTAACGTGAATGTAGAGAAACAGTAGAGATATTTATTAGAACAATTCTTAAACTCATCACACTCATTAAACTCAATTCACAAAGTCATTAAACATAACCACACCTGTTTTTAGTGTAGTGCTGAGTTTGTTGTATAAAACTGATTTGTCTCAAAGATGAACGGTTACAGTGCATACTGTAAATAACTGACACAACTGATGGCAAGGCAAAAATATAAGCAATAAATGATGCATCATAATTTCAACATTGTGAGATAATCATGAGGCTTTTACTTGTAATGGAGTAATGTTTGACCAGCAGTATCTGTACTTTCACTCAAGTAATGGAGTTGAGTACTTTGTCAGCCTCTGGCTGTTAGAAATTTGGAGTCATCTTGAATGGGGTTTGTTGTTTGCAGGATTGTGATTGACTGCAGTGGTATAAAGAGAGGAAACACAGGTTTCAGATTCAGAATTTATATACACATATACAGTATATACATATTTTCAAGTTTCCATTATATTGCATGGAGGAAGTAAGCTATTTTCTTTGAATGTGCAAGACCTAATTTCATTAGGTAAATAACTAGAAGAATAACAAGGTGCAGTAAAAATATTTGCGTTGCAAACCAGTGAATATTTAAGATTATGATAATGAATTAAAATAATATGATCAATACCAGTCTGCAATATCAAGCAACCTGTTTTTGTACAAGTAAAATAACTGGAAGCGAATGACACAGGAAGGCCTTGCACATTCAATTTACAAATGTACCAACCACACCTACATTCAAAATAAGGTGGATATGATATGTTGATAAAAGTTTTTGGTCATTTAAAAAAATCCTACCCTTTTCTTAGTTTCTGAACCACCCTATAACAAAGGAACACACACCCCGAAATGAGTGCCAGCAGTAGTCCTGGGCAAGTTTCTCGGCCTCACTCAAGGGTACCTGCGTAGTTGGTTGTGGTACAGTAGGTTTGGGTGTAATAATTCTCCTCTGTGTGGTGGATTTGACAGCTTTGGGTTGATTCGGTTTGTCCTGAGCAGTTCTGGCTGGTTGGGGTCTTAATATTTGTGGTCTAGTAGGCTTTGGCCTCTGTCCCGTTGTTGTGGTCTCATCTGCACAGGTCTGTAGGGCCTGTCCTTTGGCTCGGCGTGTGATGAGGAAGCGTTTGTGAAGACCATCTGGGCCTCGTCCGATGCTCTCCTGCACATGAGAGGCTTGATGATGCGCTGGCCCTGGCAAGCATTCCGCAGCTTGCGAAGGCCCCACATGATCTGCCTGAAGTAATGCAGGGGGTTGTTGTTGTAAGAGCAGCAGGCCTGAGGCTTGCCCTGTATTCGCACCAGTAAGAGTGCTCCATGCCCAGGCAAGTGATGCGGAGCATCGTCAGATCGCCTTGTCCTGTCACGCTCAAGCTGCATTCATCTCTGGTGCCTTTGGTAATAAACTCATTCACGTCTTCCCAAACATCCCTCCTGTGTCCTGGCTCGATGTCGTCGTGATCCTGGCTCCGAACTAGAGCTGCCTGGAGGCAGCATGTAAGCAGGAGTGTGCTTGTGATTGTCCACATGTTGTGAGGAGCTGACATTGGCGGAGAGACTTCTGACTCCACTATTTAAAGGCTTTGGTCACAAAGAGGGTATTTAGAGGTTAAAAA